GTTTTCTCATATTTATAAAAAAAAAATAATAACGCGAAATGGTGAAAATAAAATGAGAAAACATGTCAATGGACACGGGTGCTCAATAGGTACTAGCTCTTATCCTTCTAACTTCCCCGGCTGCAAACACGCTTCAGTCCGCCAGGTGGTGGTGACTCGCGGGCGCCAATGGGCGAACTGGCGCGCGCATGCGCACTGCGGCGAGGGCGGCCGGGCAGCTGCACTCGGCGAGGAAGCGCGGGGGAGACGCGTCCACACGCGAAGCGTCGCAGGCCTGGGCAGGTGGTGGAGCCGCGGGGCAACAGCTGGAGAGCACGAATCCATTTGGCCAAAACTATAACAAACTTGCGCATATGCGTATATACCTCCAGGCCAGATGCAGAGGGAACATCTCCTGTAATGCCCTGTTTTAATGTCTTATTAAAAAATGAGAAGGAAAGCAAGGCAGGACCACGAGCTCTGGGAGAGTTTAGTTATCTACTCCCTCTCCCTCCCCTCATCCAGAAATTCCAACCTCAGATCCATATTGGGGGGGAAAGCACACACTTCTTATCCTCCAGTAGGAGTTACAAGGCTATCCAGCCTTTCTGGTTTGAGCCCAAACTGTCCCTGAATGTGTAATAATCCTCGTTGTAATGGACTGCATCATATATGAAGGCCAGTCCTACATGGGGTTTACTTCTGGGCACTCTGAAGCAGCTGGGAACATCTCACCTGTGGGCCCTGCCAACACTTCCAGAGTTCTTCATCACCCTGCAATTTTAACATGACCATATTTTATTGCTGCTATTTTGACAGGACATCTTCACCTTTTCATCACCTACCCCCCAACCTTAGTTGTCGATTGCTGTGTAACAAATTACCTCAAAAACTATTGGCTTAAAAACAACAATAAACACTTATTATCTCTCACCATTTCTGTGGATAAGGAATTTGGGAGCTAATAGGCTGGGGTGGCTCTGGCTTGAAGTCAGACATGAGGTTGCATTCAAGATGCTGGCCAGGGCTGCAGTCATCTGAAAGCTCCACCAAGGTTGGAGGATCTGCTTGCAGGGAGGCTGTATTAATCATGTTTTTTAATTTTCTGTATCTTGTTTTGACATCTTGGGAGGCCTTATAGACCAGGCAAGAGACTGCCTTTTCCAGGGCTAGCTAGTTCCTAAGACAGTTAACAATTTACTTGGGAGCATGCGTCTCATGCAAGCCAGATAAAGTTAGCCTTTATCTACCTCACGTGCCAAGCCAATATTGCCCCTGCCCTAAGTCATCCCAGGGCCAGGTACCAGACCCCCTAGAGACCACCTTTATAGCCCAAAGCCCACCAGAATTGTTCAACCTAGCCAATCCAAGCTGTTTGCTCTCCTCTGCCCACCCTTTGCCATGGAAACCCCAATAAAGGCTATGGCTTAAGCTTTCCCCTTGCTCCTGCTTCTGCAGCCTGACCAAAACCTGGTGCTTCCCCTGTGGCCGTGCATGGCATGGCATGGCATACCCCCTTCTCTTAGGAAATATAAGTAATAAATTCTCCTTTCAATAGCATTGACTTCTCCATGTCATCACTCAGTCACCTCTATAAATTAAAATCTCTTGAGTACAGATGAGTCAGAGACACATTCCTATGGCTGGCAAAGTCGATGCTAGCTTTTGGCTAAAGGCCTTAATTAAGGCCTTTCCACAGGCTGTTTAAAAGTCTTTATAACATGGCTATGATTTCCCTCACAGCCAGTGATCCAAAGAGATAAAGGCAGAAGCTGCAATGTCTTTTATGGAATGTTGGAAGTCACACATCATTCCATAATACTCTGAGTCCTGCAGCCCAGCTCTGAGTTGCTGTGGGCTGAGACTCCTCAAGGGCATGATTTCCAGGAGGTGAGGACCCTTGGGGGCCATATTGGAAGCTGGCTGCCAGAGGGCATCATGGAAAATATTAATTTGTTTTTTTCCCCCTTCTTTCAGAAGAGAATAAGCAATTATACCCACCAACCTCTGCCCCCCACCGTGAGCAGATATATCTGCTAAAGCCAGAGGCATATATCTGAATTTTCAGAATGTAACTTAGCTGACATTGAGAAAAGGGACCCAGGGATACTAAGCGCCTACACCAAGCTCCTCTCCCTCCCTTCCCCATCACATCAGTTTGGGATTAAAGATAATGGAAATGCATTGTTGAGGACTTAACAATACTACAAATGAATAATCTCTTTAACAAGGTCATTATTGTAAATGTAAAAATATTCCTTAATCGATTCTCTTGGGAAAACAGTTTCAGGAAACTTATTCTAAAACAGTTCCTAACCAGTGTTTGTTTGGGGTCAGAAGACCCTTTGAGACCTGATGAAAGCCATTGGATTCTCTCTCCAACATAAAATGCTTATACGCAAAATTTTGCAACCTGCTTCATAGGTGGCTGGATGGAAATTACTAGATTTCCTTCTTGCTTGCATGTCTAGGCTTTAGGAATTATTCATTCTACACTTTCAGAGCATCTGTGTTAGGGCACCGCTATGGGTGTTGGGGCGTCACACAAGTTCCTGCTCTTTATTGAGGGCAATCATCAGAAAACAATCTCAGATATTAGTTAAGGACAAGTTAAAAAACAGAATGTTACATTGCTAGGGGAAGAAGGAAACATGAGATGGGATGGCTAGGAAAGGCCCTAAAGAAGTGATATTTGAATTAAGACTAGCATGAGGAGAAAGCCGCCAGGGCAGTAAAGGAATACCAAGTACAAAGAATCTGAGAAAGAAACAGGTTTGGAATGTTCAAGAAACCAAGTGTGAAACACTGAGCAAAGATAGAACACGGTGGAGAGGCAGACACAGGACAGACAGGAGACCATTAGGAGCAGGGAGAAGAGCCATGGGAGAGTTTTTTCAGGTGATTTCAAATTGATGCTCTGCCCTTTAAAGGCTTATGACGTATCTGTGGGGACTGAGCTTACACTGGAGTAGACTGCACATTGGGGATGAGATCCCAGGAGCCCCTGCCCCACTCCACTTCTTAAGGCTCTAGTGAATAAGCCCCAGTTTCCATTTAGGTGGAGGCTGGATGTCTTGATCTCCCTTTGCCCCAAAATTATTTGTCTTTTAGAGTATGATTATACGGGGCCAGCCTGGTGGCGCAAGCGGTTAAGTGCACACGCTCCGCTGCTGGGGGCCCAGGTTCGGATCTCGGGCGCGCACCGATGCACGGCTTGGAAACCCGTGCTGTGGTGGCGTCCCATATAAAGTGGAGGAAGATGTTAGCACAGGGCTGATCTCCTCACAAATAAATAAATAAATAAATAATGATTATAAAGATACATATCTGACAAAACAAAGTACAAAGAAGAAAGTTAACTACTACTTCAAACTCCACCACCCACCAATATAAAACGGCTTGGAGAGGGGCTGTGTAAACACTGGAGCAAGCTGGGGGAACTGACTAGCCCAGTAGGCACAGAACAGGCCTTAGCAGACAGGGTGGCTTCCAGCTTTTTTAGCTATGCTTCCTGCTGGAGTTGGTACACTGGCCCAAGCCAGCCAATAGGAAATGAAATATAATCTATGCTCATTAGTTTGACCATTATGGTACCCATTTATTTGGAAGAAAATTTCTCAAGCTCAGGTATCAGGTTCTCATGGTCCTTACCCTTAGATAAAAAGTAGACAAGGTAGATGAGGTGGCAGTGGCTTCAGCCACCAATACCAAACCTCCCCACTGTCTAGCACATGCTGAGGGCTACTAGAAGCCCTAATTCTGCAACGAGTGTCAACTAGGGATGACTCTGCCACCAGGGAACATACGGCAACGTCTGGGGGGAGGGAGAAAGATTGCTACTGACATCTAGTGGGTGAAGGCCAGGGATGCGGCTAAACATTCTATAACACAGAGGGCAGCCCCCTACCACAAAGAATTATCCAGCCCACAATGTCAATAGTGCTGAGGTTGAGAAACTCCGTTCTAGAGTGATAGCAACACCTCAACGATTAAGTCTGTACAAGACATTTTGAACTACCAGAAATCATCTGCTGGGAGGTGATGGCTTTTCCCGATTCCTGGTGAAAAGTTTGAGAGGCTGTAACCATTCTAATAACGCTAAGCAGTTCTTCATTCAAGTATTAGCTGAATACTTAACAAGAAACACACTGTTTCTTTAAATTGAAATATGAATATATTTCTTTATTAGTATGCTCTCAAGAATGACACATGAGCACTGTCCTTCATTTGTAACAAAGACTACATACATCTGACCCACATCGTGGCAGGAAATGGGTAGGGCTCTCAGAGCTGGTACCAAGGGTCCACTGAAGAAATCTCCATTCACCAGAGAGGATGTTTCCTTGGATTCCATCATTTCAGCTTCTAGTCGGGTCTCCATGATTTGCCCAGAATCATTCCAGCACCAAGTGACCTCTTTTCTCTTCCCACTCTAGACGCCTTCAAGACTTAGGCCAAGTGCCCCATGTCTCACTTGCCCAGGGCGCCTCTGGAATTCTGCAGCACATCTCTTTGGTATGCTGCTGCCCTGCCACCCTGAGGGACAGGGTTGGAAGTTGGGGGGGAAATATACCGTATTATCAAAAGCAAACAGCAGAGCTACATTAGCAAATTACACTTGGACATACACCCAACAACCTCACAGAATACATACTCCCTCCCAAATGATATACAGTCCCCTAGAGAGCAAAGGAAACCCCTCGATCATCAAACATGTGTGGAATGATTCTCTATGCCAGCCACAAGGGATACAAAGCAGATGGTGTTTACTTCCATCATGCTGGCACACAGTAGAAAGTTAGTGCCTGGAAGCTGGAACCAGATCTCCATCCTGGCTCTTCTCTGCCTTTGAATGGTATCACCACTCTGCTTCACCCTGTTCTGGGCATTAGTTCATTTTTCAAAAGGGAGGGTAAGGTGGCAGAGAGAGAGTAGAAGGGGAGATTTGGGGCGGGGTGGGGCGGATGTGGATGACGGACGACCTGTAAATCCAAACAAAAATAATACAAAAATGCAAAAACCAGATTTAGTACTACAATATTTTATAACAATAGAAGGTAACTGGAAATACTACATGCTAACACAGACAATATGACACACAACCTTTAGGGGAGGACTCAGCCAGGAGAGTGAGGCAGAGACCACCAGTTTAGACTAAGAGCCTTTCAATGGACTGCTGAATTGACTGGATCTGCTGCTTCAGCTGTGAGCCTTCTTTGATGGTGACAGAACAGGCAATGACAGGCCTGGAGACCCCACAGGCCCGCCCCAGGGCCTGCTTGGAGCGCACAAACACGTAGGGCACGTTCTTGTCTTCACATAGCAGCGGAAGGTGCAGGATGATCTCCAGGGGCTCGGCGTCTGCAGCCATCACAATGAACTCAGAGATGCCTCTGTTGAGGGTTTTGGTGGCTGTGGAGAGAAGGACATGAGGCCAACGGGTGATGTAGGGTTTGGGCAGGGAAGGTACAACAAAGCAATTTTCAAGGAAAAGAAACACAGGTGCAAGATAACTGGGCAAAATTCCCAGGCCCCACACAAGCAATTCTGTGTGTCCTGTAGCAGCCTTGGGAAGTGATAAGGGATTCAAATACCAATTAGTCTCCTCAAACCCTACATCAAACCCATCCATTTTGTCAGAATACATCCTGAATCAGACCACTTCTTTCCTCTCCTCTGCTATCACACTTGTCCAAGTCACCACCATCTCTTGCCTGGCTGACGGAAACAACTCTCACACAAGCTCCGCCATGATGAAGCAGTGCAGGGCAGCACTTCTCAAACTCTGTGATCAAGGATCAGGGTTTAACCATCCCAATCTGCCATGCTCAATACTTCTGGAAAGCGCACACGACACGCAACTCACCTAGCAAGTTCAACACCCCACAGCATTGTTCAAATGCTTAGTCCTAATTGCTAATCTCTGTGGCCGAGCACTAGCCCATGGACCACATTCTGCATTAACGCTGGAGTACTACATTCATGCTGGACAGAAGAGCACAAACCCTAGAGCCACACTGCCCAAGTTCAAATCCTGGCTCTCATTCTCATTAGAAGGTAAATGTGGCAAATGTTAACAATTGGTGGATCTAAAAAGATTCTTAGTCTAGTAACCTTTAGCATCTAATGCCAAAATGCTGCTCTAAGTCCTCTCATTGGTCCCAATTAATAGTATCCAGCCCTCTTTCCATATTAGAAATCTAGACCAGAGACCCAAGACAGAGAAAGTGCCTTTAACACTCTCCCCAGAGCACTCTCTGGCTGCCTTACCCTCATTGGCTCCTTTCCGAAGCTGCTTGTAGTTACATGACTGCTGAACAAGATCCAATAGTTTCTTGGTGAGGTGGGCATCCGCAAGGGGGTAGGCCTTCGGATTTACATCAGCCTCAGTCTATGTGGAGGGAAATCAAAGCATCAGTCAAACTGAACCAGAAGTTGTTCCAGACAAGTTGCAAAATACTTTAACCAACATTGACAGACACAATGGTCAGCCTCCCTGCTTCCCCACCCCCAAACACACACATCTGATAACTGACACTGGCCTGCCCATCTCAACTTGGAAAAACTGAAATATAATATTAGGATTAAAAAAAAAGTTAGCAATTCATAGTTCAATAATATATACTAAAGCTTATGTACTTTTATTTGCTTCTCTTCAGCCTAATGCTTAGTAATATTACAGCAAATGGGTTATAATGGGCTCCTATGGCTCAGTACCCATTTGAGTCACATGGGGGTGATCTTAATCTGAATTTCCACACTCCACCCAAAAAACTTAATGAATCAAAATTAAGGTATAATTTATAGAAATGTAGCACAAAGTTCTCTCTCTCGATTCTCCATTTAATATTCAAATCATTCTCTACTGTACTCAGTAAGAATCCTGGTTTTCAAAACGTCAAAATATTTTCTTATGTATTCAATTCTACAATACACACAAAATGGTTTCAGAACTGCTATACCAATACTACCTCTACCAATAACAAACTCACCAAGGTCAAAATTTCTTTTTGTTCTTGGAATATACCCAACTAAAGCCATCCAGTCAGAGTACTATATTCAAAAGTTATTCAAATTAATTTTTTCCTTGTGGTTATCAATTCAATATACAATTAGGGTTCTTTTGTATTCAGGTTGCTTTAAAAAAATTTGACTTTTCAAATATATAAAACATCTACATGGTTCCAAAGTCAAAGCTATGCTAGTGAACCAACAGTGTTTTGAAAACTGGTAAACAGTAAAGCAGTTATCCTGCCTTTCCTATACAGACAGTATCACTAGGTAACGAAACAGTAGATGAGAAGTTTCTCTTGTATCATTATTCCACGTAATAAAGGAATGATACAATTAAGTATCACCACTTTACAACCCATATTAATCAGTTAATTAATCCAGACATTGATTAACAGCTACCAACATCACAAAAGATACCACGTGATCATCACCCCTCTTAAAGATCAAAACATCTATGATCAAGTAGTCTTGGGGAGAAAAGAAAATCTGATCAAGCCTTTGATTCCAATACGAGATATCTGATATTAAGGAATTATTAAATTTGGGGGTAATATAGTGGCACTGCACTTGTTAAAAATCCTTATTTTATAGATACATACTGTAATGCCTGTGGATAAAATGTGATGTCACTAGGATTTGCCTCACAATAACTCATGCAGGGAACGAACTGGGTGGGATCTCACCTATTCCATTTCTTCCACCTCATTCCCACCTCTGGAGTTGAACCATTTTCATTAATTTCTCATTTGTTTTCTGTGTGATTCTTTTTACAAATATATACTTATACGTAAGTATATATTTATGTTGTATGTATAATCTGGTTGCAGCCTCCCGCTACCATTGCGTGCACCCAGTGGTTCACCAGCGGTGGTCCGTCTAACCCTGGGTTTGGAGGTGGCACCGCGGTTCCAGGCGGTGACCCGTGGGTGACGACCGGGCGGGAACACTTACCATTGCATCTGCCTTGGTGGTCTCCTGCCTGATACCACAAGGACACAGAAATGACACACCCCCAGAGGAGCAGGAATGACATAGAGTGATGTCAGCGAAAGTGACATCATGAGCCAGATTGCACCAAGACGCCTGGTCCCTAACACATCACATCGCAATGGGTGAATCTGTTATGGTCCCAGGGTGGTGAGGAATTAGATGAGAGCTGGAGGAGTCCCCTGAAGAAGTGGGGAAGAAAGGTCTCATTATCTGTCTGCTCTTCTCTATACATTCTAGAATCAGCTTTTCAAGGTCCACAAAAAAAAAAAAAAACCTGCTGATTTCTAGATTTAATGTAATCTCCATTCAGGTAAAACAGAATACAGAATCTGTCAATCTATTTAAACAAATATACTTAATTTAGTGCTTTTAAATAAAGCTTTACTCGGCCGGCCCCGTGGCTTAGTGGTTGGGTGCATGCACTCCACTGCTGGGGGCCCGGACTTGGATCCCGGGTGCGCACCGACGCAGTGCTTCTCTGGCCATGCTGAGGCCGCGTCCCACATACAGCAACTAGAAGGATGTGCAACTATGACATACAACTATCTACTGGTGCTTTGGGGGGAAAAAAAAAAAAATGAAATAAATAAATAAATAAATAAAGCTTTACAATTTCTCCAAAAGGTTTAATCTTTTAGATTTACTCCTAGATACTTCAGGTTAAGAAAATTCACTTTATTTCCTAGTGTACTAAGAATTTCTTCTTTTATAAATGAATTGGTGGTGAATTCTATCAGATTTTTTGTACTGAGTCAGATGAGTAAGGCTTTTCTCCTCTGATTTTTTTTAAACAATTTTTCTTTCTTTCTTTTTTTTTTTTTGGTGAGGAAGATCAGCCCAGAGCTAACATCCGTGCTAATCCTCCTCTTTTTGCTGAGGAAGACCGGCTCTGAGCTAACATCTATTGCCAATCCTTCTCCTTTTTCTTTCCCCCCAAAGCCCCAGTAGATAGTTGTATGTCATAGTTGCACATCCTTCTAGTTGCTGTATAAAGAAAAAGAAAAAAAACAGAAGGAGAAAAAAGTTCTTAAAATTTTTTGAGTGCTTGCTATGAGCTGACCACTTTTACAGACAACTTAGATGTATTAAATTAATACATCTAAGGGACGCGGCCTCAGCATGGCCGGAGAAGCAGTGCATAGGTGCGCGCCCGGGATCCGAACCCGGGCTGCCAGTAGCGGAGCGCGAGCACTTAACGGCGAAGCCACGAGGCTGGCCCCTAAACAATTTTTTCTAATGTTAAACCAAATTTGCATTCCTGAGATAAAACCAGCTTAAGATTTTCTTATTTTATTTTATATCTATTAGCTAATGGATATTAGGTTTCTTTGGGGGATGATAAAAATGCTCTAAAATTCTATAGCAATGGTTATGCAACTCTGTAAATATGTAAAAAAACCCACTGAATTGTACACTTTAAACAGGTGAACTTTATGGTATATAAACTATCTCAATAAAGCTATTTTAAAAACTAGGTTTAGAGTTTTTTTAATGTTAAAAAATTTTAACTTAGTTTATTATTCAGTTTTTCTATTTCTACTTGAATTGGTTGATAGATTTCATTTTTTCAGGCATTTATTCATTTCATCTAATTTTCTATATTTATAGGTATCAAATTATTCATAATATCCTTTCTTTTTAATGTCTGCAGATTATGTCTCCTTCATGTTTGTTACTCATTTATATCTTTTTGCTTATTTTCTTCATTAATCTCACGGGAGGGGACTTTTCAAAGAAAATCTTCTGATTTTGTCTATTCTATCACAGTAGGATCTATTTTCTATTTCAGTAATTTCTGCTTTTGTTTTTTCGGTTCTGTCTACTTTCTTTGGTGTTATTTTGTCCTTTTGTTCTTTTCCTGCCTTTTTAGTCCCTTTCCCCCCAACATAAGCATTCTAGGTTCCAAGTAATACTTAGGTGTATCCTACAAGCTCTGGTATGTGGTATTTTCATTATTTTTCAGTTCTGTTTTCAAATTTCCATTATAATTTATTTATTTGTAAGTGCTTTATATCTTCTTTCCAAACACGTTGTACTGATTTCTAACTTATTTGCATTTTGGTTGGAAGAACATGGTCCATATTACTATTAATCTTTTAAAATTTGTTGAACTTGCATTATGACCCAGTAGGTGTCCAATGTTCATAAATGTTGAAAAGTGCCCTCTACAGCTATTGGGTGCAGTATTCACAGTATTCACTAGATTCACTATAACCACGAGATCAAGTTTATTTATTTATAGTATTGTTCAAATCCTCTATTTCCAAACTGATGTTTTGGCTTCATAATCTATCAATTATATACTTAAATGCTATATAATTGCATATTTGTCTATTTCTTCTTCTTCTTCTTTTTTTTTTTCTGAGGAAGATTAGCCCTGAGCTAACATCTGTGCCAGTCTTCCTCTATGTTGTATGTGGGTCACCACCACAGCACAGCTGATAAGTGGTGTAGGTCCACGCCGGGATCTGAATCTGTGAACCTCAGACCGCCAAAGCGGCGAACTTAAGACGCTACACCATGGGGCCAGCCACTGTCTATTTCTTCTTGTAATTATGTCATTTTCATTTTATTCATACGTTTTTTTTTTAGCCACTCTCTATCTTTACGAATGCCTTTTGCCTTAAAACCTATTTCTTTCTGATGTTTATATAGGCTGCACCACACCTTTTAAATTGGCATGTATTTTCCATTTTTTTTACTTCAATCTGTCTTTTAACTGCAGCACTTAGTCCCTTTCTATATTTATTTAAGTATTGGTATACTGGGTTCAGATCTTCCTCTTCCTTCATTTGTGCCTTCTATCTGTCCTAACTGTTCTGTTTCTTTTTCTTTCTTTCCTTCCTTTGGGTTTATTATTTTTTTCACTATTTTTCCCTCTACTGGTTTAAAGTTATACATCTTTATTCTTTTGGTGGCTACCTGAGAAATCACAACACATATCCTTATGAAAATCTAATGCTCATCAACACTACCACCCTCCTCCTAAACAATAAAGGACCCAACAACACTAATTCCAATCATTCCTCAAAAATACACTTTTAAAAATGTCACTATTTCCATTGTAGTTCCAATAACTCATCTCTGGAATTTAGGATTCTCAACTATCAATAAACAATCAAATGCATAAAAAGGGAAGACTTTAGGAGCCCGAACAACAATCAAGGAGGAATCACCTTATTGTTTTAATATCAGTCAACAATAACAACAAAAGATGGGCTCAACTTTAAAAACAAACTACCTAGCTTATAAATAGCAACTGAAATTTGCTTAGTATGCATTTATTCACCTTTTAATTTTTTCAAGGGTTAATTAAATGAGTGAGTGAATGAATGAAATTATACGGCTAGCTAACTTTCATCCCTAGCTTGATCAGTTTGGTCTCCCTGTACACCAGACAGCCCAGACCTGCAAGGTGTTGATATAACAAATAGTGCGTGCTCACTAACTCCCAACCTAGTATTAGAACGAGTGTTTAACATGCATTATCTCATTTAATTTAATCTCACAACATCCTCATGCATTGTTAACTCCATTTTACAGTTGAGGGAAAGTTCTCTTAAGTGCCGCCCGAGACCATCCGATTCCAAAACTTTTCTTGGAACTGCGTAAGATGAGCACCGGTCTAGAAGCTTCAAGTTCTACACTCAGCCACTAGCTTCAAAATGGGTGGGGACTAAGGGAGTGAAAAGGGGGAAAGATACCCGCAGGGATCCAAGTTCCGTTGGAAGAATTAAACCTCATTATGGAAGTGGAAGTGGTTTGCAAACTCTTCCCTCCTTACCAAGTGCCAACGAAAACTAGCAACCAGGCTACACGACTTCACTGAAAGTTGGAGACCACCAAGAGTTTAGAGGTGCCGCACGTGGTGCTACCAGGACCTCTGCTTTCTGAGACTACCGCCTCGCAGGAGGAGCCTTTCCTGCACTCCAGGCCAGGGTTCGGGGTCACTCCACATTCCCCAGAGCCCCCAAACGCCAAAGGCTCCTTTAAGTCCCTGGCACGTGTAACTCGCGGCGAGCACTAGGCGCAGAGCCATGGAGATCTCCTTCTCCTAAACATCAGCAATGGGGAGGTGGGCTAGCGGAGGTTGATCCGAATCCAGGGGTCCATATCATCCTCTAGCGACCCCAAAAAAGAAAAATAAAAAAGATGGAGCCAAGTTTTCACACCTAATCTTCTACTCTCTCTCACGTGGGTTGATTTCTCTCTCCCAGGCCCGCCCATGCTCCATCCACTCACCGAGGCCTTCGGCCACGCGCAGAGACTGCTGCAAAGTCCCTCGATCACAGCAGTTGGGACCCTGAGGCTTCCGGAGTTCTAACCTCGGGCCGGGCTGTTGGGACCCGCGGCTGCTCGAGTTCTAACTCTGGGCCGGGCGGCTGGGACTCCGCGGCTGCCGGAGCTCTAACCCCGAGCCGGGCGGATGAGACCGCGCACGTTCTAGCCCCCGACAGGCTAGTGAGTGAACGGGACCCCGAGTCTCCCGCTTCCCGGCCCTTCGGCCAACAGCACGTACTCACCATGGCTGCGGTTCCGCGGTCTCGCCACCCTCGGAGCGCAGCCGACGTCAGAAGAGGAGCGCTCGGCTCGCCGGAAAAGTCGCACCGAAGGAGTGGAAATGGCGGCGCGCGGCAGGAAGCGGAAGTGACGTCACCGCGACCTAGCCGACTTAAACTCCCAAAGGGGCACCCGCGAAGGAAGTGCTTCAGTTCTGGGCTAGGGAGCAATTTTTGCTGTTTTTATTATCATTCTACCATAAATTATTGGCAGAAACAATGAATTAAACATTCAAAAAATAACACCAAAACAAAAGGTTTTAGTGATGTCCTCATTCCATTGCCAGTTTATCTTTGAGCACATTCTTGTGCTTTCAGAACCATCTTTTTGACGGAAAGGTATGGAGGTGATAAGTAATCCTAAATCTTCTTCATATTCAGATATCCCTGTTAAAATTTCTGGTGGGGAGTGGAGTCCACCGGAAATGGACTTCATTGAGTAGGGAATTCAGGAAGAAGAGCAGGTTTGGGGGTGGGGGTTGAGTTTCTGTCAGGTTGAGTTTGCAGATGTCATAGGACACCCATTTTCTTCTGGCTAGCATACTGCTCTTTTCCCTATGTACTCTAAATCTCTATTACTTAAGGCTGGACTCATGCCTCACTACCTCTAAGAGGTCCTCCCTGATCCTTATGGCCCTTAGTCATCTCTCTTCAACATGATGCCAGGCACATCTTGGGACCATTTGGATCTAGCCCAAACTAGACCATTATGGGCTAGTTCCAGTTAATTCCTTTAGAAATTTAGAAGGAGAGGGCCGGCCCTGTGGCTTGGCGGTTAAGTGTGCGTTCTCCGCTGCTGGCGGCCAGGATTCGGATCCTGGGCGCACACCGACGCACCCTTCTCCGGCCATGCTGAGGCCGCGTCCCACATACAGCAGCTAGAAGGATGTGCAGCTATGACATACAACTATCTACTGGGGCTTTGGGGGGAAAAAAAATAAATAAATAAAATTATAAAAAAAAAAAAAAAAGAAACTTAGAAGGAGAGACCTGATAGGACCTTTAGGAATCATGCAGTGCAACCCCTTCATGTTACAGTTACTGAGGCCCAGAGAAAGGAAGCTGCTTGCCCAGGATCACAGAGTGAGGCAGTGGCAGAACCAGAACTGGACCCTGGGATTTTTGACTATTGGCTTGGATTACTTCCACCACATCTGGTTGCTCTGCCTGAGATGAGTTGTGGCACTGGGCAACAGGATGGATTTGAACTGGATCCAGGACTGAACATTTGTTACATGAAACCCCCTATCCCCCTTCATATTTTACCTCATGCAAATCTGAAATGATTGGTCAAAGAAAAAAGTTTGCCTCCAAATTAAGAAATGCCCACTGATGGCTCCTGTTTAAGAGTAGAACCTGTGATTTGAACTCTCCTCCTCACCTTTCTTGGATCCTGTTTCATGTTTCCATATATATATTTGTTTGTTTATTTGTTTGTTTTTGAGGAAGATTGGCCCTGAGCTAACATCTGTTGCCAATCTTCTTCCTCTTTTCCTTTTTTATTCCCAAAGCCCCCATTAGATAGTTATATGTCATAGTTGTATGTCCTTTTAGTTGCTCTGTGTGGAACGCCGCCTCAGCATGGCTTTATGAGCGGTGTGTAGGTCCTTGCCCAGGATTGGAACCAGTGAACTCGAGCATGTGAACTTAACCACTAGGCCACAGGGCCAGCCCCATGTTTCCATATTAACTGGACCTATCAGCCACCACTGTTGGGGAATGAAACCTTATTATTCCAATTTAGTCATAGATGTGTCCTCTATAACAATTTCTGATTGTTATTTGGCCTTCGTGGCATCTTGGACCATCGTATCCCAGCTCTCCTCAGTAATGACTGATAGGGGCTTGATGTTTTTGTGACCATGAGTAATGAGACCGTACACTTTACCTAATTAATCATGTTTCCCAACTATGTAATAACTAAATTGCCATTTTCTCTCAAACTAGCCTACCCTTTTATGTCTTGCTGTTTCCCTTGCTAGTAAGTTAATAAATATTGACATATGCTCAGGATCAATTTGTCTTAGAAATTGGTCTTTTGTCACACTTCTGCACTTAAAATCCTAAATTCTTGCCATGGCTTACTAGGCACTCTCCACCAGTACTCCCCACCCCACCCCATATTACAGCCCCACCCACCTCCTTTTTCTACCCTGAGCACACTCCAATCTCTCCAACCCCATCCATCACCCTTTGTTGGGAGTGACTTGCTCCATTGTTTTGCTTAGCTAACTCCTGTTCATCATTTCTTCAATGAAGCCTCCCTGATCACCCAGACCAGGTAACTGCTCCTGTGGGATGGACACACAAGCCCCCTGTACCTGCCCTTTGTAGCACTCATCAATCTTATCTTTATTCAGTGTCCACATTCGCAACCACACTGAGAGCTCTATGAGAGCAAAGCTTGTAGCTGCCTTGGACTTTGGATACCTATCTTCTGGCACTATGCCTGGCCCAAAGGAAGTGCTTGTTTCACTTAGGGATCTTTGGTGGCAAGAAACCAAAAAGGAATTTGGGAAAAGACTTTGTGGTGGAGCCCAGAGATTCAAGAGGAGCTGTTTGTGAGAGCAGGATGGGCCCTACAGTCTTACTCCACTGTCAATGTCCTCCAGCCCAAAACCACTAGGAGTGCATCTATAGTGTTATCACTCATTGCAATAAGTCAGAATGCACACTGTGGGGAGCTTTGGGGCTTCTCAATAAGAAGGTGTTAGAAAGGATTTGCTATAGGATTTGAGCTTGTGTTAGGTGATTTTGGGGAAGGTTCAAGGAAGTGGGGTTTGCTCTGGATTAGATGCTGTCAGGAAGTGTGAGTAATTCTATGATTGGACATCTTAATAAATCTTATCTACAAGGTGGAAGGAATGAAGTAAGGCTAAAGCTATAATTGATAAAGAAATAGTAGTCACTCATATTAGCCAGGATAAGGGGGTGTTTGGTTATTTTTATTTATTTTTTTGGTGAGGAAGATTGGCCCTGAGCTAACATCTGTGCCAGTCTTCCTCTATTTTGTATGTGGGATGCCAGCACAGCATGGCTTGATGAACAGGGTGTGTGTAGGTCCGCACCCGAGATCTGAATCTGCGAACCCTGGGCCACTGAGGCAGAGGACGCGAACTTAACCACTACACCATTGGGCCAGCCCCTGTTTGGTGATTTTTGTGGTTTTGATAATGTTTGTTTTTGTCTATGTTCAGACAAGATTAAGGAGTGATCTTGTTTTTGTCCTGATTTTCACAGTTAGAATGTCTTTGTCTGATGCTGATGTTCTGTCAAATTGTTTATTTTCAACAGGAGAACACCAGGCCTAGCTATGAGTGTCAGGCTAGCTCCTAGCAACATCAACTGATAGAGCCAGGCCAGTTCCTAGCTGCCATGGGCTGTTTTTCTTTTTCTCACCAGCTTCCTATTCCAAAGGAATCTTTGTTCTTGATATTTAGAGCCTGAATCTTTGTTCTTGATATTTAGAGCCCTGGCAGAGAGAGCCCAGCTGGCCAAACTTAGGTCATACCACCACTCCTTGGCTGTCCTGCGTGTGTGAGAGAGTATCAGGTATAAGCTGGGGTGACATTCATCCAGGATTCATCATGTGGCATATTGGGTTCTTAAAATAGGGAAATACTTCCCAACTAGTTGGTAAATAGGTGATGCCCCTCTCCTGGGATGCCTGGGACCATCTACAACTCAGCTATTAAAGGGTTAAGGCCTGGCCCATTCTGAATGGCTGATGTCTCTGCCTGCTCTGTTATTCAATATTTTGAATATAACCTTTAGGTGAAAGACAGTCTTCAGGATAGCATTTATTCTCCAACCAACACTGATCCTGAGATGTGAAAAGTAATTCCCCGACAGAAAATCAGGATACTGTGAGCACAGAGGAAGGAATGCTGGGTGGTCAAACAGGAATACACATGTTCAATACAGTTGTTCATTAAATGTTTGATATTCTATAGACAGATGGAAAAATGGATGAAAATATCTGATAGGAAGAAAGAAATCAAGCAGACTGCAGGTTACATCACCCCATCATACATGGGTGGAACTTAATCTCTTCACTCCAGAGGGCAAGGATGTTTAAAACAAGTTCTTGATCCTCTTAATTCCTTTTGGGCAGTTCCCCAACACTGTACTTACCTGCCCCAAAAGTATGCTAGCCAGCCTTGCTGCCAGGTTCAGCAGCTGGAGCTGAGGTGGGTCATCAGGCTCCTTTGTGAGGTGACATCAGTGACAGAGGTGCTATGAGGCAGGAACTACCCCGCCCCAAATTCGCTGGGTCAGCCATACCAGTCCTGCCCTCCAACTCCCTAACACCACCTGCCTGCCCTCAGCTTTGTCATGTTGCTGCCACTGCTGGGCGCCTGTGCTGTGGTGGGGCCATTCCAGGGCCCTGAGTGGGAGCCAGTGCAGGACCTGCTCTCTGAGGATCGCAGCTGCAGGGACCCTCGGTGCTGCGGCAACCTGCTCATCCTTTGCCTCTTTCTGATCTGGCAGGTCCGGCACTATTGGCACCAGGCCACCAGGACTCACCTCAACATGAAAAAGGTCATCAAGGTGAGGGGATCCCACATACCTCCTTCCTTCAGCACCATGACTATTTCAGTCATTTATTATGAGGACCCTGTTCTATGCCTTGTGTACAAGAGATGAACTACCTTGGAGAACTCAGACTGGTCAGGGAAAGCATCATCAGGCCCCAAACTCAGGAGTCACCCTGGACTCCTTTCTCCCTCACTCCACACATTCAATCCATCTACAAGTCCTCTGGGCGCCACTTGCATACCATATCTCAAATCTGATCACTTCTCGCAACCTCACCACACACCCCTGGGCAAAGCTGCCCTCATGTCTCACCTGGACTGTGAGCGTTGCCTCTGCCTGGCTCCTGTTGCCTCTCTCACCCAACCACAGTCAGCGCTCCATGCAGCCAACAGAATGACCTTCTTCTTTCTCTCTCTTTAAAAAAAAATTTAATCCAAGAATAATATACATACACAGATTATAAGTGTATAGATCAATGAATTTTCATAAACTGAACACATCCATGTGCAGCACCCAGACTGAAAAACAGACCATGACCAGCAGCCCAGAAGCTTGCAGTCACAACAATGCTGATTTCTAATAGCATAGACTAGTTTTCCTTCCAGGGAATCATGTGGTAACTATTGTTGTGCACCTGGTTTAAGCCTAACATTATGCTTGTGAGCCAGAACAAACTTTTAAAAACAGATCATAGCACTTTGCTGCTCAAAACCCTCCAATGGCTCTTATGGATATGCTCCCCATCAAACTCAGAATAAAATCCAACTCCTAACCACGATTCCAAGGCCCCGAATGATCTGTCCTGCATTTCTTTCTTTTTTTTTTTTAAATTTTTTAAAAATTTTATTTATTTATTTTTCCCCCAAAGCCCCAGTAGAGAGTTGTATGTCATAGTTGCACATCCTTCTAGTTGCTGTATGTGGGACACGGCCTCAGCATGGCCAGAGAAGCGGTGCATCAGTGCGCACCTGGGATCCGAACCTGGGCCGCCAGCAGCGGAGCGCACGCACTTAACCGCTAAGCCACGGGGCCGGCCCTGTCCTGCATTTCTCTCTGACCCCATCTCCCAGCGCTCTCCTCGTCACTCATTCCATTCTGTCCACATGGGCCTCCTGCTGTTCTTGTACACATGACTTTGTTCCAGCCTCAGGGCCTTTGCACTAATGTCTCCTCTGCCTACAGTGCTCTTTCTTCAGATGTCACTTGGTTTTCCCCTCATTTCATTCAGGTCTCCAGTCAAATGTCACCTCCTCTGAGAGGCCTTCTCTTACCAATCTGTCCAAAAGAGATAACTCCATCCCCACTCTGCTTTTATTTCCTTAAGAAACACTTTTAACACCTAGCATTATGTTGTATACTTGGTTATTGTGTCTTCTGTGTCTAGAAGATAGTCCCTAACAAGGACTTTGTCTATCTTGTTTATGCTGGTACCCTCAGCACCTAGAACAATAAACTCTTTTATCTTTCTTGAATGAATGAATACTATTTGTCCTGAGGAAAGTGACTCCCCCTTTCCTGGGCCCCAGCATCCTCATCTGGATGGATAATGGGGATTATAATTCTGATCTATGAGACAATGTGTGTGCAAGGATTTTGCTTCTCTGTTCTCACCTGCAGGTGCCACCACAGAAGTGGGCAGTGCCCTCCAGGAGACATGACACTTGTTTTGGGCTGACTCCTGAATTCTTCAGTCCTGGAAAGTTCAGGGGCCTGGATGCTCATGTGCAACAATGGGCACAAAAGAAGAGATGGGAATACCAGAGGAGCCTCCAGGAGTCATGGGCCAAATACCTGCTCTCTTGGCAACACCTATGTCAGGACTCACCTTGGGATTTCTACACCCCTTCTGAGCCCATCTTTTGCACCACCTCCTTTTCAAGCACCTTTATGTTTCCTCAAGACAGTTCTTGGGAAGCATGGCAGGTACCCTGGTGTCTCAGCGATGACCAGACTCACTTGATTTGCAAGCCACTGCCCCTGGCCCTGGACATGTACCAGAGGATGGAGCAGCTGCTTGTCCACTCCCAGGAAGCACTGGTGCCACTGGAGCATGTTGTCAGCATGAGATCCCACCCTGCCTCCATGACTTTAATCACCACTCTCCCAAACCTTCCTTCAGCTCAGAGGCTGCAGTTCTGTTCCAGAGAGTTCCTGCCTGTTCCTTCTAATCAACAAGTGGGAATGCCCATCTGGAAGTCCTGGGGCTGCCCACAAGAGGCCTGGGTACCAGGGAGGGAAACCCAGACACTAGGAAGAGAGGATAGTAGAGAGATCCAGGCTCCAGGGTGGGTGAACCAGAGAGAGAACAGAGGGGAGAATGCTTGGGAAATTCAGGCATCTGGAAGACAACTCCCAATAAACTTTGGGATGGAGGACAATGCAGAGACTAAGGTCCTGGAGCAGGAAAGCCAGAGACTAGTAATAAGAAAAGCTCATGGAGAGATCCTGACACCAGGGTGGGAGAACCAGGACCAGGTGGGAGTTGAGAATAGAGCCCACATTCAGGAACTAGGGAAAAGAAACCAGAGGGAAGCTGGAGGTGAGAATCCTCCTGAAACCCGAGCACATAGAGGAGAGAACCGGGAACAGTTAAGATGCAAAATTGATGCAGAGACCCAAACACCAGAGTGGGAGAACCAGGGTGGGAGTAGAAACGAAGATGCTGTAGAGACCCGGGCATTTGAGAAGAACAAGAGAGAAGCCAGAGGGGAGGATGAAGGAGAGATCCAGGCCCAAGGATTGGGGAAGCAGGACCAGACTGGAAGTGAGAATGGTGAGGAGACCCAGGTGCCAGAGTGGGGAAAACAAGACCAGCTTAGAGGCGATACTGGTACAGAAATTCAGGGAGAAGAGAGGAGAAACAAGGACCAGGATGGAGGTAAGACTGTTGTGCAATCCCAGATACCTGAGAGGGAGAACCTGGGAGAAGTAAAAAAAGAGGATGGCATAGAGACCCAGGTCCTGGGGTGGGGAAAACAGGAATGCATTGGAAGTGAGAATGTTACAGAGATCCAGACACCAGGGTGGGAGCAGCAGGATCAAGGTAGAAGTGAGAAAGCTGGGAAGATCCAAGCATCTAGAGGAGAGATCCAGAAACAACTAAAACATGAACTTCGGGTGGGGTGGGGAAATCAAGGCCTGAGAAGAGGTGAGGATGTGGGGGAAACCCAGATATCCAGACGGAAGAACCTCAGGGAGATAAGAGAAGAGGATTGGGTGGTGATCCAGGCACCATGGTGGGAAGACAAGAGACCAGTAGCAAGTGAAATTGACAGACAATTCGAGATACCATGTTGGGGGAATCAGGACCAGATTGAAGGTGAACACAGGACAGAAATTCAGGCACCAGAGAAGAGAGACCAGAGGAAGCACGGAGATGAGGATGGTACAAATACCCTGGCACCCCAGGCAGAGAGCCAGGGACAATTAAGAGATGAAACCCCTGTAGAGACCCATCCACCAGGGAGGAGGACCCAGGAGCAGTTTGGAGATGAGAATAGTACAGACATTCAGGCACCAGTGAAAAGAAACCTGAGAGGAGTTAAAGGTGAAGATGGTAAAGAGATCCAGGAACTTGCGGAGGAAAACCAGGGTCAGTTAAGAAGTGAAATTAATGCGAAGATTCACACACCAAAGTGGAAGAATCAGGAACACATTAGAGGCAAGGATGGTGCAAATGCCCAGGCATCTGAGGCACAGAACTGGGGAGAATTAACAAGTAAAATTGATGGAGAAACTCATTCAGCAGAGTGGAAGGAAGCAGAGCAGGTTGGTGGTAAGAATGTTGCAGAAATTCAGGCACCAGAGAAGAGAAGCCAGAGAGAAGCTGAAGATGAAGATGATACTGAGACCTGGGTACCTGGGGAAGAAAACCAAAGTCAATTAAGAAGTGATATTGATAGAAAGACCAATTTATCAGAGCCGAAGAACCAGGACCAGATGGGAGGTGAGACTGGAACAGAAATGCAGGCACTAGAGAAGAGAAACCAGAGAGAAGCTGGAGGTGAGGAGGGTGTAGAGATCCAGAGACCTAACAGAGAGAACCAGGGACAATTAGATAGTGCAATGGGAGAGAGCCATTCACCAGGGAAGAGGAATTGGGAGCAGACTAGAGGAGAGAATGATGCAGAAAATCAGACATTGGAGAAGAGAAACCAGAGAGAGATTAGAAGCAAGGATGGTAGAAAGATCCAGAGACTATTGAAAAGTGAAGTTAATGAAAAGACCTGTTTATCAGAGTGGAAGAACCAGGAGCAGATTGGAGGTGAGAATGGTGCAGAAATTCAAATACGAGGGAAGAGAAACCTAAGAGGGACCACAGGTGACGATGTTACAGAGACCCAGCCTCCTGGGGGAGATTACCAGGGACAGTTAAGAAGTGAAATTGATGGAGAGATCCAGATACAAGGGCAAGAAAACCAGAACAAGGGTGGAGATGAGGATGCCGCAGAAATCCGGGATGTAGGGAGCCAGAGAAAGTGCAGAGCTGAGGATGCTGACGGACCTCAAGTTCCTAGTGGAGGAAACAAGGACCAGGTCAGAGGAAAGAAGGCTGCTAAAGGTAATCTCCGAATTGACTGTTCAGAGGGTGAAGGGCCCCCAGCCCTCACTGGCTCCAGATATGGGGCCACGGAACAAGAACAGGTAGTGGCCTCTGCTCCCTGTCCTGAGATAAAGCCTCTCCCCGACCAGGGTGAACTCTTCCAGCTTGCCAGTGGTGAGGGAGAGTATTTGGCCAGCCAAAGGATGGCTCCTACCAGGAAGCACAGAACGAGGGTCAGTCCAGCTTCCCAGCAGGCCCAACCTAAACCCCAGAGAAGCCGACAAAGGGACAAAGGGGGGGATCCAGGGAAGGCCTCCAGCCTGACTCGGCAGCTCCAGAATCCACAGTCTCTGGCTACTCCCCTGGGCCTACCCTCTGCCTGCCCCTCTCTCTCTTGTAGCCATGCTCCCCAAGCTGCCACAGCTCTGGTGGGTGATCCCACTGCCCTCACTGTCCTGCCCAAGTGGCCAGTCCTCAAGAAGAGCCAACAACTGCTTCTGGAGTCCCTCATGCGGCGGAAGATTGCACACCTGAAGTGGGGCCTTCCCCAGCAGATCCTGGAGTCCTATGTGCTCTTTAACTTCTTAGAACCATGCCCGCTGCCCCTTGCTGAGGTGAGGCTCCCTGGATTATACAGAGCCCGTAAGCTCCAAGCGCAGCAGGAAAGGCATTGTGAGGCCCAGGGCTCCAGGCCAGGCTTTAAGTCCTCAGAGAGGTCCCAGAGGGATTGGTCCCCAGAAAGAAAAAGCTCAAAACTTCCTACACAGGCCAGAGTTCTGGAGAAGTGTGGATCACACAGGTCAGAGCCAATGGGCATTTCCATCCATCCTGAAAAGCCCAGGAGAGTCAGGCCACCAAGGGGCCCCACAGAACAACAGGATGTCCAGGAAGAGGCTCCTCCTAGGGCCAAGCTCCCTGCTCCCAGGAACCCCAGGCCTGCAGCAGAATCTAAGAGTTTGTGTGGCCGAGAAAGGGTCCGAGAGCCTTCCAGTGAGAACAGCAGAAGCAGGAAAATGGTCAGGCCAGGGGTCTCCCAGATGGCAGAGAGGGCTCCAAGCAGAGTGAGGACCTCATACTCCAGGGTAGGCCACGACCTCTGGAAGAAGGAGCACACATCCCATGAGGCCTCTAAGCCCCTCAGACTCAAACGTCAGCAGCCCACTCACTGGAGAAGAGGAAGCTTGGAGCCTGCGGAGGGCAGAGGGGCTGGGCAGCAGTCTTCCTCCTGTTCCACAGACACCTCTAGCTTCAAAGGGAGTCTCCACTCTGCTGTAGCGAGGCTGAGCATGACCCTTTTGAACAAGATATCCTGGTCCCCACACCTGGCGAATCCCCGGCACTCAGCCCCCAAACTGAGCCTGAGGGATCCTGATCCTACCCTGCTTCCCAAAGTGGGTGATCCGCATGCAAGGGAGGACAGCATTGGAGTCCACGCTTCTTTGAAGAGGGAACTTCAGCCACCAGGTCACTGCTGTGCTGGGGCCACTCTTCCCAAGACAGAGAGCCCCCAGGGTCAAGGGGAAACTGAGGACCCACACGGGGCCCCACAAAATCCACCAGCCCCCAAAAAGTTTGGTTATATGAAGCATTTGAGGTGTTTTCTGCTCCAACATGGCTTTAGAAAGTAGGCCACAGGTGCCGAGTCCTCAGAACACATCAGAGAAGGTGTGAGAGTGGCCTGCTCACCCTCAAAGTCTCTAATAAAATTGGTTATTTGGGCCCCATGGGGTTCTGATTTCTTTGGCACATGTTTTCTTTTTTGTGTTTGTGTATGAGGAAGATCAGCCCTGAGCTAACATCCATGCCAATCCTCCTCTTTTTGCTGAGGAAGACTGGCTCCGGGCTAACTTCCATGCCCATCTTCCTCCACTTTATATGGGACGCTGCCACAGCATGGCCTGACAAGCAGTGCATTGGTGCGCGCCTGGGATCTGAACCCAGGCCGCCAGCAGCAGAGCGCACGCACTTAACTGCTACGCCACGGGGCCGGCCCCATGTTTTCTTTTCTTTTCTTTTCTTTTTTTGGTGAAGAAGATTAGCCCTGAGCTAACATCCAATGCCAATCCTCCTCTTTTTTTGCTGAGGAAGATTGGCCCTGGGCTAACGTCCGTGCCCATCTTCCCCTACTTTATATGGGATGCTGCCACGGCACAAGTGGTGCACCGGTCTGCGCCCGGGATCCAAACCTGTGAACCCCGGGCCACCGAAGTGGAGCGTGTGTGCTTAACCACTACGCCACCAGGCCAGACCTGGCACATGTTTTCTGAGTGGCCCCTTTGGAGTTTGGGGTACTTCATGGGTGGGTAGAAGCCAGTTCTACTCTATGGTTTTGAAGGTTTGAGCAATGTCAGTCAGCTCGATGTCATCTCCTAAATACTTCCCCTCCCCAGCTCCTCACAGTAGGATCTATTGAGTTTTCTGTCATTGATCAGTCCTGCCCTGTTCCAAGCTAATTCTCATTGAGGTAGGACGCTCAGACAGCCTCAGCTGCTTGGGGGGAGAGGCGGTGCTCTACACCGGACACTATTATTCAGGTAATTTTGGTCACTAGGAAGGGAGCTGATCACTGGGCATCTGTCCTGCTGGGATTCTGCTGCCGATAAACAGACTTCATGGAAAAACAATCCCCACGTCTCCAATTCTCAAGCACTGCAACCATAATTACTTGTTGCTTGGCCTGGCCCACCTGTGGGACATCCAGGAGCTAATTATTTGTTTTAATCAAGTCTGAAACTTCTGAGCCAAAGGGCATTATGTCTTATGATATTTCTGTAGACAGCTTCAGCAGGTGGAAACAGATTCACAGAGCCTAAATCGGTGAGTGCTGGAGCTGGGAATTTAATTCAGTTTTCTCCTTTATCCTTCCACCGTTCTTTCCTTTCTCCCTTCCTTTCTTCCCTTTCATTTAGTGTTACTATTTTTTAATTCATTGTAAAACCCATACATGCTCATTAAAGAGAGTTTAGAAAATTCAGAAAAGAAAAAATAATCCATAATCCCTTCACCCAGTTAATTTTTTTTTCCCTCTGAGAAAGATTTTCCCTGAGCTAACATCTGTGCCAATCTTTTTTTTTTTTTTTTTTGTGAGGAAGATCAGCCCTGAGCTAACATCCATGCTAATCCTCCTCCTTTTGCTGAGGAAGACCGGCCCTGAGCCAACATCTATTGCCAATCCTCCTCCTCTTTTTCCCCAAAGCCCCAGTAGATAGTTGTATGTCGTAGTTGCACATCCTTCTAGTTGCTGTATGTGGGACATGGCTGCTTGGCTGGAGAAGCAGTGCGCCGGTGCGTGCCCGGGATCCGAACCCGGGCCACCAGTAGCAGAGGGCGCGCACTTAACCGCTAAGCCACAGGGCCGGCCCTGTGCCAATCTTCCTCTATTTTTTTCTATGTGGGACACTGCCACAGCATGACTGGTAAGTGGAGTAGGTCTGCGTCTGGGATCTGAAACCGCAAACCTGGGCTGCCGAAGCGGAGTGCGTGGAACTTTAACCACTCGGCCATGGGGCCAGGCCCCCCAGTTAATGTTTTGATGTTTTTCTTCCTATGCATTGCTGCCCGTAGGGTGTTCCCAAAGCAATTCGTGCCTACCTCTACCATAGCACTTACACTGTGGTATGCAGCCTCTAAGAAGACTCCCAATGCTCTCTGCCTCCTAGTATTTATGCCCTTGTGTATTCTCCTCTCCTTGAGCGTGGATTGGATCTAGTGAGTCGCTTCTAACAAATAGGATACAGCAGAAATGGTGGAAAGTCGCTTCTGAGACTAGGTTACAAAGACTGTAGCTTCCATCTTGGGCACACTCACTCTCTTGCTTGCTCCCTGAGGGAAGCCACCCTCCATGTTGTGAACTGCCCTATGGGAAGGCACATGTGGCAAGGAACTGAGGAGGCCACTGGACAACAGCCATCAATAAAGTGAGACCCTCAATCCAACAGCCTTCAAGGAACTGAATCCTGCCACCAATCATCTGCGTGAGCTTGGAAGCAGATCCTTCAGCCCTAGTGAGTCTTGAGATGACTACAACCTCATGAGAGGCTTTGAGCCAGAGTCACCTAGCTAAGCTGTGCCTGGATTCTTGATCCACAGAAACTATGAGATAATAAATATTTGTTGTTTTAAGCTGCTAAATGTTGGGGCATATTAGTTTTCTATGGCTACTGTAATGAATTACCACAAACTGGTGGCATAAAACAACTGAAATTTATTTTCTCATAGTTCTGGAGGTCAGAAGTCTGAAATCAAGATGTCAGCAAGGCTACATTGCCTCTGAAGGTTCTACAGGGCAATCAGTTCCTTGTCTTTTCCAGCTTCTGGTGGCTGCAGGCATTTGTTGGCTTGTGGCACCATCACTCCAATCTCTGCCTCTGTGGTCACATTGCCTCCTCCTTTTCTCTATCTGTCTCTTCTCAAGACACTTGTCATTGGATTTAGGGCCCACTGGATATTCTAGGATGATCTTCTCATCTCAAGATCCTTAACTTAATTACAACTACAAAGATTCTTTTTCCAAGTAAGGTAACATTTACAGGTTCTGGGAATTAGGATGTTATATTAGTCTGCTCTGGCTGCTATAACAAAATACCATAGACTTAGGGGGCTTAAACAACAGAAATTTATTTTCTCACAGTTCTGGAGGCTAGAAGTCCAAGATCAAGGTTCTGGCTGATTCGGTTTCTGGTGAGAGCTCTCTTCCTGGCTGGGAGATGGTCACCCCACTATGTTCTCACATGGCCTTTCTTGGGTGCATGTACATGGAGAGAGAGTCGAGAGATCTTTCTCTTATTCTCTTCTTATAAGGCCACCAAGAGTATTGGATTAGAGCCCCACCCTTATGACCTCATTTAACCCAATTATTTCCTAAAGGCCCTATCTCCAAATATGATCACATTAGGGGTTAGGGCTTCAATACCTGAATTTGAGGGACACAATTCAGTCCATAGCAGACATGGAGATATCTTTTTGGGGGTTATCATTCAACCCATTGCATGGGGTAATTTGTTAGGCAGCAATAGATACCTAATAAATACATACTCTATTATAATAATTTGCTTGTCTGTCTCCTTGACTGGACTTCTAGTTCCTTGAGGACAGGGGCTGTCTATTGCTCACCTTTGAATCCTCTAGCTCCTAGCACAGTTCCTGGCTCAAAATTCTGTCAAAAAGAATACATACTTTGTTGACATTCTGAAAATATATAGAATAATATTTAATGATACGGATGATGTACATGATATATTTTTCTCTGAGAAAAGCAGTTTACATACCTTTGTATGTTGCTATTGTAAAAATGTATAGAAAAAGACTGGAAGAAAATATATCAAAATATTATTTTCTTTGGGCCGGCCCCGTGGCTTAGCGGTTAAGTGCGCGTGCTCCACTGCTGGCAGCCCGGGGTTCAGATCCCGGGCGCGCACCCACGCACCGCTTCTCCGGCCATGCTGAGGCCATGTCCCACATACAGCAACTAGAAGGATGTGCAGCTATGATATACAACTATCTACTGGGGCTTTGGGGGGAAAAATAAATAAATAAATAAATAAAATCTTCAAAATATTATTTTCTTCATTGAACATGTATTACTGCTGTAATGTATTTAAGCTGTGTTGAATAAATGTTTTTTGTTTGCTTATTTATTTTATATACTTGTATACCTAATTCTGCATCTTTTGTACACTTAGCATTTTAACGAGAATTTTTCCATGTTAATATCTACTTTTCTCAATTACTCCATAATACTCCATGAAATAATAAACCATTGTTTTCCAAACTATTTTGCCATGGAAAGCATTTTTTCTACTCAGTCATACTGCTTCTGAATGTAGAAAACACCTCTTGAACTTACCTCCTTCAACATTAACTGGTTGCTGGGCACTTTGGTGCTAAATAAATCCTTGTAGATTGAGGGATTATTATTGTTAACATATTTAACGATAAATTATTTTTTCTTCTTCAGTGTTCCTTGTGCACTCACAAAGTCTCAAGTGCTGTGCAGCCCTCTGTGAGAGGATATTTTAAGGGGAAAGTCAGATTTTTGTTGAGAAAAAGGTGTCACGTAAATTTAAAATAATAATACTAATAGCTTTTATATAAAAATCCCTGAGATCGTTTATTAAATTTTTAATAGTAGAAATAGATTGTTTCCTTTCCTTCTTTTTTCAAGGCTAATGATAGCTTCTTTCTAAATACTTTTTAACTTTCGGTGTGGTGAAAACGAATTCCTGCGGACTATAAGAGCAAACCGCTTTGGGTCTAATTGGACACTCTCCAGCGTCCTTGCGTCCCTCACCCGTCCGCAGGGGCCGCTGCTCGCCTGAAATTGCGGCGTGCTCGGTTTGCGCAGGCGCATTACCTCCCCCTCCGCCCCCGGGACGCAGGGCTCGTTCAAGTGCGCTTGCGCAGAAACTGCGCGGGAAAAGGTGCTACCGCGGTGAAGCGGGAGTTGAGGGATGGCTGTGAGGAAGGCGATGGCAGGCGCTCCGCGGCCGGGGGGGGACGAAGAAGCGGCGCTGCTTTTCGAGAGGGCCCATTACCGCCACGACCCGCGCTGGCTGCTGCCCGTGCCCCCACGCCTCTGCCTGGCCTGCGCGCTGGAGCTGCTGCCGGAGCCCAGCGTGTCGGTGCGAACTGGGCCTGGGTATTTCCCTCACCAAACAGGGCCGCCCCTCGGCAGACTAGCTCCGTA